CATTAGTGTCTCTCCCATACTGTTCGGCACATTTCGGACAGCCTGCTAGCCCAGAAACTGCTAATATACGCTCAACTTTTTACTCTGATAGCTTAAGATCCAGACGCTCAGGAGGTGTTTAATGGGGGCTGAATTATCGCAGAGGTCTCTGCCTCTCTGAAAAAACACATGCGGTGATCTGAACCAGTGAAACACTGAATAAAGGGGTTTTATTTAAAAAAAAACAACTGTTTTTCTGACGCTGCTGTGAACTTTGGCAGCTGACAAAAAAACACAAATGGCCCTATCTAGAGCCACTGTTTGGTTTGTCCACTCCAGGCTACTGTTGAAACATGACAGTGCAACATGGTGTTCTCCATGGACGAGGACCCACTCTCTATGTACATATAAACGGCTCATTATAAGGGACACACAATCACACACAATCTAATTTTCATGTGATTATACACTAAAGAAAATGTGCTGATTATATTCCATTTCTGCCAATATATCCCTCGATATCCTACACGCTGGACCTTTAAATGATGGATTCATTCATACAGATGTATAGACAATTGTCTATTATAAGGAAGTACAAAAAAAACCCATAGGATTGCTGTGCAGTGAAAAATCGTGTGTCTCCATATTTTGTTTTAAGGTTTTCAGACAAAGTCGATTCAGATAGTTTTAATGGTTAAATGATCTAAAATACATTAGCTTCACACAAGGCTATTTCCTTTGTTTGATAAAATTTTTTGGAGATACATGGTTTTCATTGGACAGCAACAACATGTGAGTTCAAAGCATGTGTGATTTTAAACACATAGGGTTTCACAAGCGTACAGTCATGTCTTATTCATACCTCTACCGCTGTGTTATTTGCGGGCTGGTGCAGGCAGTTGTTGTGCTCACCAGGTATCAAACTGCGGCTGATTGCGTAATGCATGTAATTTCACACATGCATGTTGGGACCAGAACTGTCTTGAGATCCCACCTCTCGGCTCTGATGCCCAATCAAACTTAATGGCATCTGCAGTGCCTAGTGTGCAGTCACATTTTTCAGGAGGTGCGCGGCGCATCTTTGCAGCTCAAGCCCTGCAAACCATCTCTACAGCTCCACAAAGCATTACTTTCAAATTGCATGTGATAGTCTTAAAGGGCAAGTTCACGCAAGTTATGACTCTTCTGGTGTCTGTCTGCAGATAGCTTTGGTCATATTTGCTCTGGTTTGACGACATCTATCTCTGAGATTTCTGCTTCCAACTCACTACAACAAAAATGGAGGGAATTTGTGGTGCTCAAAGAAAAATAAAAAAACATAGCAACATGTTCCTTCAAAAACATTTCTCTGAATAATCCACAGATGGTTTTTGGTGGAACTACTTTCTACAGAAGAAATAGTCCCTCCTCTCTGTGCAAGCAGTCAAACAGCTTGTTCTGTGGATTATCCACTGCAGCTAGGAAACTGTATCTACTGTTGCTGTTGAAATTATTTTTTTGACGTTGTACGCAGCAACACTCACCTCTATTATATCGGGGCGCAGCAGAATTCTCAGAGATGGATATCTCAACACACAGGCGAATGCTGTAGAACCTAAACTATGTGTATTTCCTGATACCACAAGGGGTGGGAGAGAAAACATGTTACTTCATAAACTGGGTGAACTGGTAGTCAGTAATCTTGTTGTGAAAGATTTCCTACTCAGATGAGAGTTATATTTAATGAGTGAGCCTGCCATCATGTGTTTAGTGTTCATTTCTTATGTGAAAGTTGACCATGACAGTACACACTGTACACTATCAATAGTAGGGGTGTAAATCACCAGTTTCATCATGATATGATATCATATAGTTTTTTTGGACAATATGATATTTGCCGATATTACAAAGTTTGTCACAATAGGATTTTGATTTGATGCGATTTAGGGGCCTGCAATCGATATGAATGATATTATATACACATTTAACTCAGTCGGTTACAGGGGAAGCTGCCACCCCTTATTTTTTTGCTTTCGACCATAAAAGATAAAAACAACACAAAAATAAGGTAAATAATTGTAACTGCCTAAGTGCAGTGAAGTTTACTTTTAACTGACACCACTAACACATAAAACAGCACATGGGACAAGGCTTTTTTCCTCTACTCATAGCTTAACAAATTACAAGTAACATTATTATTTATGTTATTCACTGTTGTTTAAGTCACAGTGTCTCCAGACAGAACAGCTCGGGTGAATGTCAGCCTGCATGCACATTTATTGTTAAAACAGAGCAGGTAATGTTAGTGTAGTGAGAGGTTAGTAGAATGAGATGCCCATCCAGACAGGTAACGTTACGTCGTACATTATCTTGTAACAGCATTGTTTACATACACTCTGAAATCCAAAATATTTCCACTCTGCCAATTTATTCCATTGTCGTTCTCTTGGCTGCTTGCGTATCCTGAAGATGACAATATGGATCAAAGATATTGGATTGTTCAGCATTTAAATGATATATCGATCCAGACTGATGAAATCGTTACACCCCTAGTCAATAAGAAATTAAATCTGTTCACATGCATCCAAAAACACATTTAGAAGGATAGTTCACAGTGCTGTTTATCAGTCTGGATTGTTTTGGTGTGAGTTGCAGAGTGTTGGAGATATTGGCTGTAGACATGTCTGCCTTCTCTCAAATACAATGAAACTACATGTCACTCAGCTTGTGGTGCTCAAAGAAAGGAAAAAAATACATTTGAAAAACTCAACAGCAATGTCTCTTTCCAGAAATCATGACCCAGTTACTCAAGATAATCCACAGACCTTGTTGTGAGCAGTTTCATGTAGGAACTATTTTCTTTCTACTGAACTAAACCTGCCAACCGTATCACTGTGCAGAATGAGGCGTGCATCTACTGCTACAAGCCTCTTGTCCATGAGTAGATGCACACTTCCCTCTGAGTGGTGATACGGCTGGCAGGTGTAGTTTGGTAGAAAGAAAATATTTCCTACATGAAACTGCTCACAACAAGGTCTGTGGATTATCTTGAGTAACTGGGTCATGATTTCTGGAAAGAGACATTGCTGTTGAGTTTTTCAAAACGGATATTTTTTGGGACCTTTGAGCACCACAAGCCGAGTGTCATCTAGTTCCATTATATGTGAGAGAAGGCAGACATCTCCAACACTCAGCAACTCACACCAAAACAATCTAGACTGACTGGCAAAAGGTGAGGTCCACACTGAGAACTGAGATATGTATGTAACTAAATGAGCAAAAGGTCCTTCACATATTCTCCCTGTACTGTACAAAGAATGTGGATGTTTCTGAATCGCAGCTTTCACACTGTACAATATAAGAAAAAAGAACTTTGTGTAATACAGGCTTTGTGTTGTACATTCACAAGGTCAAGCCTCTCACCCTCTTTCATTCGGTGTTTCTTTTACAGCCGCTCCAGCCTGAATGCCAAACTCGATGAGACCGTGCCCTTGAAATGTGACGAACCTTACATCACTCCTTCCATGGTCAGCCTATCTGCGCCGGTGGTGACCTCATCGGACGGGCACGGCTCCTCCACCACCACCGCATACTCTCAGAGCAACATTGTCCGAGTATCTGCCTTGTAGATGTCATGCTTATCTGATCAGCCAACTGGTCTTGAGAAGCACCACATGCTGAGGAGAGGGACCACCGAGCATCAACCTGCCATAATCTAGAGGGATTATACAATTAGCAGAAATCGGGGTTTTTTGAAGTAGTGATCTCATCTGATGTCAAACTCTGCATGGTATTAGAGTGATGTGGACCGCTGCCTTGGGAATGAAAGCGAACCAGCAAATTTTGCTCCATTAAGCACAGCAGAGCAATGAAGTGTTGGGATTGCGTGGTTATCGCTGTTGCCTAAAAATACTGAGAAAAAAACTTTATTTTTGAATATGTAATGTAGTTGTATTTGTGTCTTCTGATTCAAAGGAGGTGAGGCAGACGTTAAAAGGTCGTTCTTGATGGCCTCTGATGACAAAGCACACATATTCATTGACTGAGGGCCATCTTTGTGAATAATAAATCAGCCCACGTACACATGAGGAACATTCACTTCACTGAGTTGAATAGGTTGTTTTAAAACCCCACGATTAACTGGTTTCTGATAGTCCCCTCACTGTTGTAAATTCAGAAAACATACATCCACTGGAATGGATAACTGTTGTGAATATTCATTAACGGACTCATTAACTGGTTGATGTCATCGCTTGATGAGTAAAAATATACTACGCATCCTGACATGTTTGTGAAATGTGCAAGTGAAAGTCAAAATGACTAAATCTGTGTTAGCTTACATATTTGACATTCTGATATGGATCTGTGTGAAAGCCACTGTCGTTAATTAACAATTGATATTGAGAACTATACAGGGTACATATTAGTTAGGTCACAAGGTAGAAATACATGTGAATGTTCTCTGTAACACTTAACTAATACTAACCCTAACGTGGACACATAGCATTGACCTGGAAAAAAACCATATGAAAGAATGTTGAACATCGATTCCATTGAGTTGCTCTTAAATTATAATATTCATCATAAGAAGCGAGACTTGGTAGATTTCACTGTGTTAAAGGGCCATTTTGTACATTTTTCATATTGTAAATATCTCAGAACTTTATCAACTGCATTTGAAGTTGGCTCCTCTTATTTCTAGATTTAGTTGACAGTTGTTGGCATACTATTTCTGTCTGTTAACTGGTTGAATTAAGGATTTGCATGCTGTCATTGCAGAATTCTGTTTTATTAAAAGTATGTCTCTGCTTCTCGTTGGAGGTTTGTCGGTTAAAAATGAGATCGGTGGAAGGAAACACAATGAGACTGGTATGTTATGATGTAAATTCCGCAACACTTTGCTTTTAATGAAATGCAAATCTTGTCATGGAGTACATATATGAGGGGGGAGAGGACAAGGGACAAATGATCACACATTGTGCATTTGGTGCAGTGGATAGAATAAATACTGTAGCTCTACTGAAACATCCATTAAACGACCCATGTCTTTTCTTTTCTTTGCTTTTTTATTTCCCAGAGGACAATTAGGTGGGCTTCATAATGTTTTGGCTGATTACTCAAAGAGCATTACTAATAAGAGGATGGGACCATAATTAGGTGCTGCAGGATGACATGTGAGGACCTGACTGGCCCAGTGGTGGGTCCTGCCTGCAGGGTCTCTGGAGACAGACGAGCAGGCCTCTGTGATTGTTTGACAGGGAACTCAGCAGCGTCCCCCTGCTGAGCTGATTGCGTCAGTCCAGGCTGCTTCTCGCTGCATGCAACGCCTCTGCTCTGCGGTGTTTAGTAACTGCTGTGAAGTCAGCCTGCATAAAATCTGAGATAACGCAGCGGCGTATAAAATAATATACCTCCAAAACCCAAATGAAAATTCACACTTTGATGTCTGGGAGGTTTAATATTTGAGCAGTGACCAGACAAATGTTTTCACCATTTAAATATTCAGTTATATGGTGAATATTGAAAATGGTAATTTGGTCTAGTGCCACTCAAAGGTAGACAGAAGAAGAGAAATGATCATTTCTTACTGAAAATGGACACAAATTTGGTTTTCAGCCGATAAAACTCTGTCCGAAACTGAGGGTTCACTGCAGCGTATATTATTGGGTCACTCAGTGATGTGATGCAGGCGACAGACACGGACAGAATCTCCAAGTCCTGAATGACTGTGATCTGAAAAAGTCATAGAGAATTAAAAAGTGTTAGAGAACATTATTTAAGACTTTGTATAACTGCTATCAATCTATGAAACAGAGGTTTGGGGTTCAAAAAAATCATTTGATGTATGTAAAATCTAATTAATTTGTTGCTGTAAGCAGCTTATATCAGAGGTGGGACCAAACTGGTGTTATGTACGTCTCAAGTTGCACTCAAGGCCCAAGTCCTAAACAGGTCATGGTGCACTTATCAACAATCGTAATGCCATTTTAACAACAGTATATTACATTCACAAAAATCATGAATGCTTATTAAAATTTGTGTTTATTTGTGAAAACAAGTAGTTGCATCTCTGTTGGATTTTTGTTGACCATCAGAAAGTTTTAATACGCAAACAAAATATGTTTGGTGTCATTATTCCAACTGGCGCTCAGAAACTTAATGTTAGTTCTTCATGGTTCTGTCCTGCACCTTGATTGGATGCTGTCAAACTGGTTCACACACCCAGGGAATTAAGTTGCAGCTTGCTGGGAGAGAAAAGAGTTAATGTTAGCTGATTCAGAAAATGAAAGGAAGTGATATGATTCGTGACAGTTTTTAAAAACATACTTTTTAGTCTTTGGGCTTCAAGTATTTTCAAGTCAAAAGGCTCAAGTCCAAGTGTAGTCATGAGTCACTGGTGTTAAAGTAGAAGTTGAGTTGCAAGTCATTTTTCATTTTGTCAAGTTGAATCAAAAGTCATCAAATGTATGACTCGAGTCTGACTCAAGTCCAAGTCATGTGACCCAAGTCCACACCTCTGATGTATGCTCTATTTTGATCACTCCATGCTCTTGAAAATACAACTCACACTCAAATTTACATCTTTGCATCCTCACAATGTTATAATTTCTGGCATTATGACATTTTTGGGGCCTTAAAGTGAGGTCATGGGGCAGAAACAGATGAGAGACACACATCTACTACAAACCAAAGGTGACACATTTGACATACAAAATTAGATTAACAGTTTCACCCTTACCTCACAGATACTTACCCCTGTATTCTTGTTTCCATAAACAACAAAGTTCATCAGGATAGTTGTGATCAGCGGCAGCCAGAATAAGACGAAGGTTATAATTATGTAGCCAGCACGCTTCGCCATTTTACTTTCTTTTTTCTTGTGCGCTCTCTCTTTACTCGCTTTTGAAGGCATCATGCAAACAGCCCCTTCCACTGCCGTGTTTTGTTTTTCAGCTTCTGTTTCAGGGACATTACTTGATACGGGAGGTAATGAAGACACTTGATCTACTGTAGCGACAGTCAGTGTTTCTCCTCTGCTGCTGCTCTTGGCTTGTTTTAGTTCAATCAGTAAAACAGAAGTGGATTCAGGATTTTCTAACTGTGCAGACGGGGGAACATGGGGGCTGGTTTCTTTCATTTCAGAGGGCGCTTTGTCAATTTTCACTCTCTCTTTGGACTGCTTTTCTGTGTCGAAATTGCTTGACACCTTCTGCGGCTTTGTGGTTGAGCTCTTAACACTAGCAGCAGCATCTCCATTTGATGGTTTTGCTTCAGCTTTCGTGCCACAGGGATTAGACTGCTCCATTTTAAAAGGTTTCTCCTCAGTCTGCACTGCAACCTGCATTGCAGGAGGGTGAGATTGTTTCGTTTCCAAGTCAGTTATCTCCAGTGTATTTTTTAATTCTTTGTTATTCTCTGAACCGACAGAGGAGCATTGTGCAGCTTTTTTTGAGGCCGTAGAATCTGTCTTGGATAAATTTGGTTCAGCTTGTGTCGCCGGTTCCACCTGAGCAACACTTCTGCTCAGGGCCTGGTTTTGCTCTGATTTTCCAAGTCCATTTTCCACAGCTGTGGTTTCTTCTTTCACCTGCTTAACTTTTTCTTTGTCTTTTTTCGAAGGGAGAAAAGTACCTTTGTCAAATATTTTGCGATTGTGTGATCTCACAAGAGCAAATATGCGAGCATAGAATCCAATAATGACACTAAAACAAGCTGCCCAAAGTGGGAACAACATGTAAAGTCCAAAAGTGTCATAAGAGGAGGATGTCTCTCTTGATAATCCTTTGCATCTCTGATACACGGGTGAGTCCTTCACAAATATCGGACAAAAAATAGCCACCAGAATAGCCAAGGCCCATGTGAGAGGAATCAGCAACATGATCCGTCTTCGCCTTTGACTTGTTTTGAAGGGCTGTGCGATGGCCTGGTACCTCTCTGAGCTTATACAGGCCAGTGTCAACAGCTGGATGCAGCAGCTGAAGGAGAAAGAGGCCAATTGTGCATCACAGAGCAGCTCAACCACACTTCCTCTTCGATACACAGTCAGGATGATGATGAGGAGAATGGGGCAGTCAATTACGCATCTCAGAGTGTCTGTGACTGCCAGATTCACCACCAGTGCATTATTCGAAGTTTGCAGTGATTTTTGGTGATAAACTGCCAGTATGACAAAAAGATTTGCCGCGATCCCCACGGCAGAAGTGATCAACAGAATCAAGCTGTTTGCCACCACAAAGGCGACGTCGGTGTATTCCTCCCAAATGGTGCTGTTCCCAGAGTCCCATGCAGGTGTAGGCTCGCCTCTCATCTCCAGGTTCAAACAGTCAACATGTTTAGTTCTGCATCTTCATTCTCTCTATGCCGCCCAAATATACAGTAAGGCTGCTCTGCTGGGTGGCAAGTGGTTCTCCACTGAGTGAATAATATTAATGGGTGAACCTGTAGCTTGGACAAGTATCCGCCCTTTTCATTATCACTCCACTGCAGCAGCAGGTCACCTGGGAGTCCTCACTGTTCACATTCATTAAAGACTGTGCTGTGTATTCATAGCATAGACAACTGGAGAAAAAAAAGGGTGGCTGTTAATTGAAAAGAAGTTACGTCACTACTGTCTCAATCCTGATATACAACTTTAAAAAAGACAACCAGGGGCTCAAAGCTGAAATGCAATAATGATAATTGTATGGTGGTGTGATGCATAAGATATCCATATGTGTGTTTGCAGTGAACAGCTGTCCATTTCATTTTACAAAGTAGCTCACAAAGGTTAAAAATCTTTGCATTGAACATGCCAGATGGATGACTTGGGAGTTCTTGAATTGGCTCAGGACATAAAGGGAGCCATGCTGCTGGATTATAACATGACATTGTGTAATCCTGTTTGAAGATAAAGTGTGAAATGCTCTTTGCTTCAAATGTGCAAGCTTATGGACTACGCCAAATCTGGGATTAGATCAACACAATACATTTTCCTCCTGACCAGCCTACGCATTAGACTGATCAACTGTCTGTGGAAATCACGTTGATAAAAACTGGAAGAGAAGCTGAGGTGAAACATGAAGCCATTCATCAAAAGTCTTGGCGCCAAACAAGTAACTGTAAATATTTTAGGACGCCATAAACTAAGACAACATCATGAGCAACTTGCCAAAATATAAATGACAAGACAAGAAAGTAGCTCCTAATGAAAAAAAGCTTTATTTAGAATCAGACTCCCATTTTTAGTATTTACATCAAGTGTGCCAAACAAGTGGGAGGGAACAGGACAAAGATAAGCAGCCAAACAGAACACCAACAAACTGTCAAAAAAAGGTATAACATACACTCACAGGCCACTTTATTAGGTACACCTGTTCAACTGCTCATGAATGCAAATAGCTAATCAGCTAATGACATGGCAGCAACTCGGTACATTTAGGCATGTAGACATGGTCAAGACGACCTGCTGGAGTACAAACCGAGCATCAGAATGGGGAAGAAAGGGGATTTAGGTGACTTTAAATGTGGCATGGTTGTTGGTGCCAGGTCTGAGTATTTCAGAAACTGCTCATCTACTGGGATCTTCACACACAACCATCTCTAGGGTTTACAGAGGATGGTCCCAAAAAGAGGAAATATCCAGTGGGCGGCAGTTCTCTGGGTGAAAATGCCTTGTTGATGCCAGAGGTCAGAGGAGAATGGCCAGACTGGTTCAAGATGATAGAAAGACAACAGGTGGTTACAACCAAGGTCTGCAGCAGACCATCTCTGAACCAACAACACGTCAAACCTTGAAGCAAATGGGCTACAGCAGCAGAAGACCACACCAGGTGCCACTCCTGTCAGCTAACAACAGGAAACTGAGGCTACAGTTCACACAGGCTCACCAAAACTGGACAATAGAAGATTGGAAAAACGTTGTCTGGTCTGATGAGTCTGGATTTCTGCTGTGACATTCAGATGGTAGGGTCAGAATTTGGTGTAAACAACATGAAAGCATGGATCCATCCTGCCTTGTATCAACAGTTCAGGCTGCTGCTGGTGGTGTAATGGTGTGGGGGAGATTTTCTTGGCACACTTTAGGCCCCTTAGTACCAACTGAGCATGGTTTAAACACCACAGCCTACCTGAGTATTGTTGCTGACCGTGTCCATCCCTTTATGACCACAGTGTACCCATCTTCTGATGGCTACTTCCAGCAGGATAACGCACCATGTCACAAAGCTCAAATCATCTCAAACTGGTTTCTTGAACATGACAATGAGTTCACTGCACTCCAATGGCCTCCACAGTCACCAGATCTCAATCCAATAGAGCACCTTTGGGATGTGGTGGAACGAGAGATTCACATCATGGATGTGCCGCTGACAAATCTGCAGCAACTGTGTGATGCTATCATGTCAATATGGACCAAAATCTCTGTGGAATGTTTCCAGCACCTTGTTGAATCTATGACACCAAGAATTACGGCAGTTCTGAAGGCAAAAGGGGTCCAACCTGGTACTAGCAAGGTGTACCTAATAAAGTGGCCGGGGAGTGTATTGAAAACATTACAATGAAGAACCCAGCGCTAAACTGGTGCATGTACAGTAACAGAAATCACTTACAGTGCATTCAGGGAGTGCTCAGACCTCTCATATTTTGTCAAGTTGCAGCCTTCTGCTAAAATTGTTCCAATGGATGAAATAACTCATTATTCTACACTCAGTACTCCTTTGAGACAAAGCCAAAAAAAGATTTTTAGACTACGCAGTTTATTAAAAAAGAAAAACCTTAGATATCACACTGACATAAGGATGACTTTTTGATATGACACTTAAAATTCAGCTCAGGTGCCTCCCATTTCTCTTGATCATCTGTGAGATGTCTCTACACCTTTATTGGACGCCACCTGTGGTAAATTCAACAGCTGACGTGTATCAGAGCAAAAAAACAAGCAATGAGGAGGAAGGAGCTGCCTGCAGAGCTCAGAGACAAGATAGTGTGGTAGAGAGATATTTAGGAGCGGCTACAAATACATTTCTGCTGCTTTGAAGTTCCCATGAGCACATTTAATTCTTTAATGGAGGAAGTTTTGGAACAACCACGATTCCTCCTACCTCTGACTGCCCAGTCAAAATGAGCAATTGGAGGAGAAGGGCCTTGTTAAGAGAGGTGACCAAGAGCTTGATGGTCACTCTGGCTGAGCTCCAGGGATCATGTGTGGAGATGAGAGAAACTATCACAGCAACACTCCTCTGATCTGGGCTTTATGGCAGAGTGACCGGAGAGAAGTTTCTCTGCAGTAAAAAGCACATGACAGGCTGCCTGGAGTTTGCACCAAAAAAAGGGACCAAAAAGACTTCCAGACTGAGAAAACAACATGTTGGCTGTTTGGAATTAATTCTAAGCATCATTTCTGGAGCAAAGCAGACAAATGAGACATGTTTGTGTCTGAATTTGGGAAAAAATAAGTATAGATTGGACATTATTTGAAATATTTATTGTGAAAAGTTACTGAATTGAAACACGACTTAACAATTATAATGAAAACACAGCTCCCAGAAACAATATATGAACCAAAAATAAATTAAATAAAGAAAATCAATGAATATCCCCTTAGAACAAAACAACTTTGAAGTGCGTATTAAATCCTCACCAAAAAATGACTAATCCTTTTTTCTATCACAACTCAATAGATAAAAGTTTCTTTAATTGTGTCTTTTTCTTCATCTTTATTCAGTGATGCGTATCAGTCTTTTCAATCATCAATCTTCATTTCTGGTGACTCAGCGTGAGCTCAGGCGTGTGCGATGTAAGACACAACGTCCTGGCTTTGACTCAGGCTCAGAGACTTTGTCATCATGTCATCTTTTTCTGAACTGTCTTCTGACAAATAAATAAACAAAATACAAATAAGAGAGTGACAGATCACAGAACAGGCCAGCCAAGCAAAATGAAAGTCTTTTACTGCCTGACTGACTTCCCATTCTTACAACAGCACGAGGTGGGATGTGCAACAGGCTCGCTTATAACAAGTGCACCCGAATTTTCCATGTTTTTCATTTTATAGGTTTTGCAGTTATAACCTACTCATTATTTTAATTTTTTTAAGCACAATCTGAGAGAGAGAGAGAGTTGCTTTTGCAGCTTCCCTGCAACTTATAAATAAATGCACTGAGTAAATCCTCTATCCACACAGGTGCTTATGAGTGAACTTATGCCTGCACACACTGCAGCAATCTAATATTCTGTGTTTTGTGCAGCAGACCTCTGGGAAGTGTGAGCGGTGGCAAAAGGCAGGACTTATGGATTATTTGGCTTGGCTGTCAGTGCTGATGATATGACGCAGCCAGCTCTTGTTGACACTGATTTCATTTATTTACATAAAAATATTACATGGGGAGTATGTGTACACCTTACATAAAATTGGAGTATGTGTCTCCAGAGGAAAAGGCCTTGCAATAAACAAAGGGCTGCACAGTCTACTATACATGAATAAATATTTAATGCTCCACAGAATGCATTACTGAAAACTCCCAAAGTATTAAATATCTATCTGACTTTCAGAACAGAGGATGTTTCTTTTCACACTAACTGAAAACAAGTCAAGTGCATTTTATTTAAGAATAAAATCAAGGGTCAAAGTTTATCTGCAGTTCAGCCAAGTCTCGTTAAAAATGCATACAAATGAAAACTATATATCTCACAAGACAACCATTTAATAAAGTATTCCACTGCTGGAAAGATGGTGCTTTCATGTAAATACTTCTATGTAATAGAAAGATGCAAATACTTTTAAAATTGTTGCTGTAGGACCAGAGAAAAAGGGCTGCGACATTCGCTTTTGCTCAAGAGGTAGAAAACCTACCACTCCCAGAATGCAGTTTTCCACACCTGACCAATAAACGCTTTGGCCGTTTGTCCAATACGGAAACAAAATGGCGGCCGGCTAACAAAGAACGATCTCGGGCTACAGTTAAATGGTAAGTTAAAATATGTTTCTAAAATGTTTTAGGCGAGAAATAGGCAACGTAGTGAGAGAATCTTGGTTTATATTTGATCAGCGCTGCTTAGTTTTATTGTTTAATCTAATTTTTGTCTGTACAGTACAGAAAAACATCATGGTGTCCACTTCTTGTTCACAAATTGTTGTAATACAGTCAAACACCGCGCTATGAAAACAGTTTCAGGCAAAAAATATAATACAGCAAATCTTGATTTTAACTTGATAAGAACTGAGCAGGGAGATGTGAGAGCTGGTAAAATGGAGGAAAATTTACCTCAGTTCATTTACACGTAATACCCTGCTGTCCTTTTCAGAGCTCATTTCTTTTTGGCTATTTTTCCACATGCATACAGTGCACATCTGCAAACAGCAGTATGAAAAAAAGTAACAGTTTATTGATCTAAACAAATCACAGAAATAAAACCATCTAACTGAATACTCTTATTTTTCTAGACAGATTGGATGGACAGTAACTACAGAAACACACTGTAATAATAATAATGCAATTCAATATAATGCCCAAACAAACTAGTGTCAGATGAATCAATTCATCTCTGAGAAAGTTAACAAAAGAAGCACATTTTCAGGGAGAGTGGATTGTATCGTATCACTGTGTTTCATGAGTTTTTTTGTCCACCTCCTCCATGTCAGCCATCAGTCTCTGAGCCAATTCTGTTCCCACTGGGCTACACATATCTCTCTGAGAGACATGGGCCTGTATATGTGCAGGTCTGCGTCCTTGACGAGGCACCAATAAACATTGACAACCATGACAGCTCCTTGTTTTCACTGGCAGGAGTCACAGAGGCAACACCTTGCTGTGAGAGTTGACGTTTCTGCTGAAGGAAGTCAGCCTGCTCCTCTTGTTCAAGGAGCGCATGTTGATGCTGACAGCGGTGGGCGCGCGGGGGATGTAGCGGCCACAAGACAGCACCTCCAGAGCGGCGTCACGGAACTGTTGGACATAAAAAAACATTCAGGAAATATATGGGCATCAATTTTATGTGTAGTTGCGTCTGTTTTTCTTGCTCACCTGCTTGTTCGAAAGGAAGTAGATGATGGGGTTATAGACAGGGCTGGTCTTGGCAAAGTACATGGGCATAGTGGCAACCAGTGGAGGGATGTAGAGCTCAGGATCCACGACTACCACCACTGACAACGCCGTGTAGGGCAGCCAGCATACAAAGAAAGTTATGATCATGGCCAGGACCATGTTGATGGCATGATCATTCTCCTTCTGACTGGAACACCCACCCTGGAGCTCCACACTCTTGTTCAGCTATAAGTATAAAGGAAATTTGACACCCATTAAAAGCCGCTTGTTTAGTCAGTAGGTGGTAAATTGCAAACAGATGAGGCTGGGGGATATGAATTTTAAATCTAATTGTGTAAAAGTGTAATAAATATTCAGGAGCCATCACGAGCCCACCTTCTTCATGGATTTGAGCACTCTGCAGTAGCAGTAGATGATGACTATAACAGGGATGATGAAGCAGAGGATCGTGTAGAGGATGAGGTAGCTGTAGTTGCTCCACGATCTCTCCTCCCAGGCCAGAGAGCAGGAGGTCTGGATCCCCTCAGGTCCGTAGGAGCTCCAGCCAAATAATGGTGCCACCGCCCAAAACAAGCAGTAGATGTAGACAAATAGCAGCCCGATGATGCTCCTCCGCATGCTCAGCTTCAGACCAGCTCTGGGTTTACACACCACATTGTAACGCTCATAGGCGAGCAGGGTCAGAGTGCAGAGAGACACCAGACCTAGAAGAGAAATAAATTCATTAAAAAAAAAAGGTGCACTTTAGGGCTGCACGATTAATCATAATAAAATCGTGATCTCGATTCATATGCATATGCGATCTAATTTTTCAATGACAGCGATTCTGCCAGCCCCACCCGTGCCGGGAGTCGGGACATCATCTGCATGAAAACAAGCCTTCCCAACAATGCAACGTTATACCACGTGATGCAGAGCGACAGCCAGCTGGCAGTTTGGAAAGCAACGAGAGCAGGAAAGAGCCGACAAAGTGAGGAGGACCCCTTAAAAGTTAACGTACTGACACTCCTCAGAGTAAATAGACCGAGCAACATTTATCAGATTTATCTGAAGAAAAAAACAAATAGTAATGCAAATAATTATACCAGAATGCACAGTACCAGTACAAACAACTCACAGTTAATTATACCAATATGCACAGTATCAGTACAAACAACAGTAGACACGTAAGGGATAATGTATAGTGAGCCGGTGACTGTTGAAAAATAACTCCCGACAGGGGAATGCAACCCTGACACACGACAGAGTTATTTTTCAACAGTCACTGGCTCACTATACATTATCCCGCTTAGAACATGGCTTACTACTAAAAGATTCAAATGTTACAACTGGCATCAATATCATTAAACTGCTGGCAGAGTGTATTGACAGAGGAGAGGCATTCACCAGACAAATGGGAGCGGAGGAGAGGATTTTACTCCACTTCTCCCAGTCAGAGATGCTGGGTGCCCAGTAGCTGCAGCGGTGGCGGCGGGGGGGTGAGGGATAATCACTGTCCGAGGGCTGCCGTAGAATGGCAACAAGGATGTCAGCCAACCAACACTCGCTACCCGGTCCCTGGTTGCGGTGATTTGAGATGCTGGCCAGCTAGGAATGAACTAGCAGCCAGTACAGTGCAGTCCTCTCTTGGCTAGCTAACATTTAGCCGTGTTACTTACTGATCCATTAGAAAGAAAGCTAGCTGGACATCGGTGTTGAAGCCTCTTTAGTCACGGAGCTCCCTCCATCTCTTGAACGCCTGACTGAGGTTTACTCTTGTTTTTCGTCTTCTTTTATCACTTTTCATCACTTTTTGTGCATCCTCGCCTCCTCAGACAGAGGAGCTCCTTTTCTTTTGGGAGGCCGTTTTTCACTTATCTCCAAACTTTGTCCGTATGCCATTGTGCTCCTGATTCAACTATCTCATGCCCCGGCCAGTTCCTCATAAGGACCAGCTCCAGTCCCTGATTGGCTGACCGACCAGTTTGGCAATACATGACGCATTTCCTGCCGTAAAGCAGATTTTTTCAGCGAAAATTCGTCCCCGGTGGCATAAGCTTATTGCAAAGATTGAAAAGCCATTAAGTAACCTATGTAAACACTGATAGTCTGATTTTACTGTGTATACTACCCTGTGCAAACCACATTATTTTCATAATGATATATATAGGCAAAAATTCTGTCTGTTGCTTCTTTAAATGAAGGAAGAGGATTTTTTTTAAAGGCAAATTAAATATTGGGGATTTATGTAAAAATATACATAGAGACATATAAATAATTATATAATTAAAGATATGTAGGCAATGTTAGGTGAATACTCCTGTCAAAAGCATGGTGTTGAAATGTTTAATTTTGATCTTCCTTAGTCCATTTAGACTTTATTTTATCATAACAATAACAATGAATATTATGAATTGTTTACATTTTAATTTAATTTTAATAACATTTATCACACAGCATTTTGTGGAAAAGTCAAATGTTCAGTTTACAGTTTTAATAAACTCAGTACTGTTTTTCAACACATACATTGTTTTGTCTTCATTCAATGCAATTAGCACATATTGTTATTACGCCATTGGTTTTGGCCTTGGTGCCCCACATTTTGGCCGTGATGCCCCGATAAATTTGTATTTATCAAAGGCCAAAGTGGCCTTGCCCTAAAAATGACTTAATTCCAGGCCTGGAATACCTACCTCAGAAAAATGTTGTTCAACATTGATATTATTGTTAAAATTGTTCAAAGCTGTAAGAGAAGACAAGAGACTAAAGTTTATTGTTTTTACGGTCAGTGTCAGGCTGTCAGCTGTTGCATTTAAGCTAAAAACAGGAGTGTTCCCTCTCTGCTGACCAGAGTTTATGTGCCTTGTGTCTCTTGTATCAGGCACAATCATAGGTTTTGTTATTTAATGATATTTTTTTTTATTATTTATTTATAATTTTTGTTACTTTTCCTTTTGTATCAGGAAATAAGCACAATAAATCTTTATGTTGAAAAAAAAAACAAAAAAAAACATGAGAGAATCATGATCTCAATTGTAAGCCAAAAAATCGTGATTCTCATTTTTTCCAGAATCGTGCAGCCCTAGTGCACTTACTTAATTTTTATGGAGATTTTAACTACATCTAAGGGTCTTTCTCAGGATATGAAATTTGCTCAGTTGTTACACCTCCAATAACTCCACAAACACCACTGAGAGAGCCTTGAGATGCTGTTTGAAGCTCTGGGAAAAGCTAGTAAAAAACAACCTTGAATTAAAGTTTGTTCTCAAAGTTATGCATGAACTTCAAGTCACAATAACATGTTTTTTAAAAAAAAGGAACATGACATTTGCAGGATCTGACAACAGAAGAAAAACATTTTCAAAAGACATCAAACAGAAGCACACAACATGAATATGTTTGTAAAGCCACAAAACATTCAGACATTCAGTGAAGTGAAACAGTAGTATCGATGTTTTAGCCTTACAATTGCATTTTATTGTGTTTTTACAGTGACAGACCTCCAGGCACAGAGAAAACAAAATTGCTCCCCAAAAAGTCTATAAACACAAACTGCTCTCACCACACCACTTACCAAAATAATTGACTGCAAATCCTTGAAACACGCAGGCAATGTGGCCAATAAAGAAAGAGCCTTGCTGGTTAGTGATAGTGACGATCAGTGAGCCGCACAGGCCTATCATGAGGTCGGACACCGCAAGGCTGAGGATGAAAATGGTCATTGGCTGGAGAAGAGACGGATTCCTCAGCATCACGGTGATGACGAGACTATTGTTAAAAACCGTTAACACCGTGTTGATGAACATGAGGAAAGAAATTATGCTGTAGCCCAAACGGGGGAAGATGGTGGGTGTAGCAGTCACCACCTCGGCGTGAATGGATGGAGGAAGTGAGCCGTAGCTCCACTGCGTGCTGTTGCTGTCCATGGTGCCTAAATGAAGTATGTGAAGCAACTGTGAGGCCAGAGACTGAACCCTTGGACACTCAGCTCAGCTCAGGACACAGCATCACAGATCTTATCTTTTCTTATCCCTGTTACACCACTCGGGTCAGATTGTGCACCTGCCTGCCAGGGAAAGCCCGAGATGCAATATGGGAAATTGGTCTGTAACATGATTTGAATGGATTATCCCAACAAACCCATGGCTTTAATGGTAATTGGAAAGTTGAGGGATATTAAAGAGGGATGAATTAGTCCTGAAAATGAAAAGAGCAGTGTGTGGGATTTAGTGACAACTAGCAGGGAGCATCGCTGATTGCAACCAGCTGCAACTTCTCCTGTGTGCCATCATGAACTCCTGGTTAGGATTCCTTTAGTATTCATTGTTCAGATTTTTTTGTACCAAGAGGCTGTTGTTTTTATGTCTTTAAACCAATCACAGTCATCTTATGTGGCACTAAGTCCAGGATGCATCAATGGTGCTCTTGCAAAATAGTGTTGGGGATGACCTTATTTTGGTGAAACATTTGCATGTGGGAAGGCAAGCACTGTTATTAACATGTACTTAAGTCACTGTGTTCAGGAGTGAGGGTAGAATGGAGTGTGAGATGGATTGGCGGTTTTGGTGCAGTGATGCAGACGCTCGTACCACAATGTCGTGGTGAAGAGGGAGCTGAGCTGGTGGCGAAGCTCTCGATTTACTGGTTCATCTACATCCCAACCCTTGCCTATGGTCATGAGCTCTGGGTAGAGACTGGAGTCTCAAGTGGCCAAAATTAATTTCCTTCATAGGGTGGCTGGGCTCAGCCTTAGAGAAAGCGTGACGCGCTCGGACATCTGGAGGGAGCTTGGAGTAGAGCCGCTGCTCTTTCGTGTCGAAAGGGGTCAGTTGAGGTGGTTTGGGCATCTGATCAGGATGCCTCCTGAGCAACTCTTGTTATAGGTGTTCCAGGCATGTCCCACTGGTAGAAGGCCCCGGGGGGGACCCAGGACATGCCGTAGGGATTACATATCTCATCTGGCCTGGGAACGCCTTGGGGTCCCCCAGGAGGAGCTGGAAGGCGTTGCTGGGGAGAGGGATATCTGGGGTGCTTTGCTTGGCCTGGCCCCGGATAAGAAGATGAAAATGGATGGATAGATGTATGGATGGATGTCACTGTGTGATTCAGTTTTTAATGATAAAAAAGACAAACATAATTTGATAATTGGTGCCCTAGAAGTGACGCGTGACTAGCCCTAGAGGAACTTTCTGGACTCCTTAAAACTTCAGACTGCTGTCTGCCGACTGTATGTGGCTCTTGCAGAACATAATTGTAGTGATATCACAGATGCTCGTGTGAAGTGAAACAGATCAATACATTGGTTAAGTCACTGTCTTTGGTGCATGCTGCTGCCAGATTTAAAAGATGTGGCAAATCACCGACTAGCTGTGTCAGAAAGCAGCTCAACATCAGGCACGACAGTCCTGCAAGTCTGGGCTTTTCTGAGGTGTGTTCACAAATTGTTTAATTTGTTTGTTTTAGATCTTTACAACAGGATACTGAAATAACAAAGCAGGCATGCCTTATTGCACAATCCAAACCATCATCAAAACATGCCATTTTCAGTGTGTAAGTGCTTAGCTCGGAGGTTGTTGCTGTTTCCTGTAGTGAAGGGGATTTGGAAATAGTAATACAAAAATAGCAGAAGGAAGAAAAATGCTGGCTGAGATCAGCGGAAGTTCTTACTGCCACAGTCTATGTCCGGTGGCTACTTCCTCCCCAAAACAAACAGACCAGGTGATTAAAACCAGTAGAAACACTGAATTAAGCAGTTTCATGTTACACATCAGTGTTTCTGCCACGCTGTTCTGGCCCAGCACCTGCTAATGTCTGCTCAGCTTTAGGAGCCAGTTGCACAAAACACCTTTAGTTTTCTCCTCAAGTATGACCCTTCAGACTTCATTGTTGTTGTTGTTGTCGTCGTCGTCCTCCGCTTATCCGGGTCCGGGTCGCGGGGGCAGCAGCCTCAGCAAAGAAGCCCAGACAGTCCTCTTCCCAGCCACTTCCGTCAGCTCTTCCGCGGGAACCCCGAGGCGTTCCCAGGTCAGCCGGGTGATGTAGTCCCTCCAGCGTGTCCTGGGGCGCCCCGAGGTCTCCTCCCTTCAGACTTATTTTGTCCTAAGCTTATTTTGTCCAACTTAATGAAGTTGTACAGAATCCCTGAGAAAGTTTCTTTAGTTGAGTAAAAATGTTAAGGCATTTATCACATTAAAAACCTTTACAGTGGTAAAATACTACAGTATCCATGATAACCATTTTTTTTTACTTGCGCTCAAGCTTGTGATACTTTAAGTCTTTTGTGCAATGGTTTAACTACCTTTATGGGATTCCTTAAGGCTATAGGACCAAGATAACGGGAAAACCTTAAATACTTAAGTGAACATTTTAAGGAAACCTGAAGGAGAAGATGTGTTTTGTGCAGCTGTTTTTATTCTAAGAAACCCTTAACATGGACTTCAAGGAAAATCTTAACTTAAGGTGTTTTGTGCAACCAGCCCCAGACATTCAGGAGGGGAAATTATCCACAGAGATCTCCTCATCTCAACAATAAACGGACCTATTGATTTAAACCAGTTTATATACTGAGTAGTTTCATGTTAAAAATTTGTTTTTTTTCTGACACTGTGTGGCTCGTAGCGTAGTGGCTGCTAACAATGGTTGCCGACATGAAAATACAAACAGCCCTTTCTCGAGCCAGTGTTTGGTTTGTCTTTTCCAACATGGCAGACTCAGTGGATGAGGACCCCTCCCTATGCAGACATAAACAGCTCGTCCTAAGGTCACAAAAACATAATAAACCTTATTTTTTAGGTAATTTTACACTAAAAAAATATACTTATATCAAATTCCATTTCTGCTATTATATCCCCCTAAATCATGGACCTTTTATTTTCAACCTGTCTAATATTTCTTTTGTTGTTTAGACAGCAGATAAAAAAGGTAAACAGCACTTTGTGTAATGGACTTCACATTCAACAGACACTTAACTGCTAATTAAATCTAATGACATAATTATCCAACCATATCAAGATTTGTTAAATTAACGACAGAAACACTTGGCTACGATCATTAATCCATTTCCATTTTAATAAATAGTGAAAAAAAAATATACAACATCATATTTAAACTGCAGAAACACAAACAAACCATGAGGATGAGGTCTTGGATGTGGCCACTGATATTTATAAATTCCCTTTTTTTCCCAGATTATACATCAGATACATTAACTCTCCAGCATTCATCCCAGCATGTGAGAAAACATTTCACGCATTTTCTGCAGAAGTGTCAAACACATGAAACTCGACACTGCCTTAACAGATCAAATAACAACATGCCTGCTAAATATAGAAACGAGGCTCTGTTTTTTTTCCTGACAAATGTTAACATTTCTCATGTGCTGAAATTAAACATACAGTACAGGCTGTGTTGTGCGGAGCTGGTTTTAGTAATTAGCTGTCAGAACATACATGTGCAGCGTGTTACCACAATGAGAAGTCCAAAAATGAAATAAACTAAAATGAAAAATTTGAAAAGCTTGACTGCAATAGATTACATGATTAGGCTATTACAAAAATATATACATTGCAGTAATGTGAAGAAGAGATTAAGGCAACACAGCAGTTTGTAATGTAAATTAATGGACAGTCTCTTACAGTTTTACAGATGCAGAGGATAAAAAAGCAAATGTACAGGCAGGGTGTAAAATTCAAGTTACAGACATGATGTGCGACTGCCCCCTGTTGTTTAGACTGTGTAAATACATCATCTTTGCATAATTTCTTACTACCCTACTCTCTCATACACACACAGACACACGCACACAAATGCAAACCTAAAACAATCAGTGCATTCAATGTTTTAAATTCTGTGTGATACAAATGTAAAATACAAGGTGTCCAGGTTTTAAGTGAAAACATTTCTGTCGTGTCATTTTGATGACTGAACTCCTTGAGAGCCTGTTCTTCACTATCTTAAAGCTTAATAAACACAAACAGTTTACACGACTGTTACCAATTATAGCTTAAAATGTGTCATGCATCTTCTAAAATGCCATGTCTCAAAACCTAAATTAAAAAAAATGAAATAATTAAGTCAGCAACTGAGATCATTCAATCTTAGTCTGTATTTTTGAACCCTGTTGAATCCTCTTTCTCTCTAATCGGACTCTGCTTTGGTCCTGCTGAGCTGCGAGGAGACGCTGATATCTGCAGGGCTGTGTTCAGGGCAGAAGGGGGACTCGTGCTGCAGGGGAGTACGGCGAGGGAAAAAGGTATGCTTGAGGTCGTAGTTGAGCAGGCAGCTGATGGAGGCCATGTAGATATCAGCAAAGCGCGAGAGTCGGCGTGAAAAGTAGGTGGGGTTGTGGTACGTCCGGAAGAGACTCCCGAACTGAGAGTTGAAGATGTCCTTCGTCTGTGACCTGCCATCAAAACACATTCAAACCGTCAACATGTGCTTCCATCAGTCCCACATGATCTCAGTAAATAATCAAAGTTGCCAAAGTAATTATCTCCGTTACCTCATGGCTTCTCTTTCTCTGATCCACTCCTCGACGACAGCCTGTGATGCCGGATCTCTGTGTACCTGTTTGGGAGCAATGCAAAGAAGTTAAGTTCACGCATTTCAGGATAGAGGCAAAAAAGAAAAGACAGACACAAATGTTTTGATAAAGTCTCCTGACCTGCATCTGCTCGATGAGTCCAGTCAGTGCCTGTACCCAGGCCATCATGTGCACGTACTGCTCTGTGTTCATGATCTTGATCTCCTTCCTCAGCTCAGGGATGATGGCGCCTGTCCTCCAGCCATGTTTTAGTGTCAAATCCTGCAAAACAAAGGACCAGAATTGTCAATAATTTAGGAATTTACCTGTTGGTGTCAGTGCCTGACTGATGCTTTAACATGCAGGAATTAAAAAGCGGTATGAAATGTTCAGAGCATAAATATAGCAGCAAATCACTATTTGCTATATAGAGATGTAGTGGAGTAATGGCATCCTCAGCAGAGAATGAAGTCATGCTCCCTCTGTGTGTTGAAATCTCAGCTTTTTTTAAAAAATTGTTGTGGTAGACGGCCCGTCCACATGTTAGTGCATGTGAGTCCCTCTCTGTGTATCTCACTGGCTAGCTAATAGCCACAGCTCTGTACCGCACTCATATAGAGGCCACTGCTGATATCTGAACGTCGTTGTCGCGGAAGCATTAGCATTCACCCTCCAATTCCCCCTGGTTAACACCATGAACTTTGTCATTGCTGTTGCTGTTGTTAGCACTGTTTGAGCTGTTAGCACCATTAACTGCTAGCCCAGGCTTAGCCACCTCTATGTTGAGAGCCTCTTCCTAAAAATACAGCGAGTGAGCGAACTCTAACGGATGGAGTGCCAAGGGTTTACTACGAGTGACACCAACGTTCAGGGATACTGTCGAGCCCTCTGTGAGCCTATTCAACAGTTTACTGTTGTTTTGAAAATAAGTTGGAGATGCGGAAAGCTTGGTAAAAATAAAGCAAGGGCAAGCGGTTTTTCAAACAAGAGACACGCCGCTTAGCCTGTTCGCTGACACACAGAGCAGGTGAGGACATCTTTATAGGAAACAACTTAAACGATTTGATGTCTGCGCATTGGCATCACCAGAATCAACAACATCACTATGCTCTAAATATATAGAATAGAGCTTCTTCAAGCAATGATAAATAAAAGTAAGTGCTTTAAAGCAGTGGTTCCCAACTGGTCCAGCTACAGGGTCCGGATATCTCCTTAGTCATTAGTTCAAGGTCCACACAGTTTCATATATTAAGTGTCTCTGTCTCTGTCAAGTAGCTGTCCATTAATCCCTCACTCTACAGCAGAAAACGGCACTTCAAAATAAAAGCTATGCACCAGAAATTCACTGTACTTCAAAATAATGTGTGTTTTTTATGAAGATGACACGTTAGCAAGTCACTTGTGGTCCATTCGGAATGGACCCATGACCCACTTTTGGACTGCGACCCACCAGTTGGAAACCACTGCTTTAAAGAATACACTGGAGTTGTAAGCTTGAGGTATATATATATGCAGCATAGCCTGAATTTGAGTCTATTGCTGCCAGAGTGTCATCCTCACTTTTTCAGTTAGCCTACCTGTTAAGACAGTTTTGACATAAACCTCTTCTGCACCAGCCGTGTAGCAAACACAGTAATGCCACACAAGATCTGTATGACTGTACAGTCACAGCAGGCCTAGTATTGCATACTCAGATGTATTTGACAATGCTTGCACTCCAGTACACAATCAATGTAGTTGTACTAATATGTTGAAAATGAAATTGGTTGCGCTTAAAGCTCAAGTAAAGACTGACCCATTACAAGGCAAGTGTGCACAGCACCAATTAAAACGGCAATGTAAGTAAGATGTGCGACTGAAAAAACATGTTGAAATGGATCCAGGGAAGTGAGAACATTGTTCTGGAGTCTTCTGCATATTTGGATTTCTTAATAAAACTGCATAAAGCAGAAATAAAATATTGCTCCCTCCCTCCCTTCCTCTCTCCCCTCCCCTGCAACTCCTCAGTAACTCAGAGATGCATCTGCTCTGTGTCCATTTGCAATAACAATCTCATCCTACAGCCAGAGATGCTGGCTGTAAGCTGTGGTTGGTGTAAACCACAAACACTGTGTTCCATCTTTCTAAATAAGCAGGATGACATGTTTGACAGCTGGCTGCCTGCCTGCCACCAGCGAGGCATTATGCCAAAAATATAAACTCTGTATTTCATTATCACCATTTACAGCTGATCAGACACATTCATTCATCCAAGTCGTTATAATAACTCATAGTGATGCAATAAAAATAGAAAAAAAGATGCTAGTTTGTTTGTTTAAGCGCAGATGAGGGGCAGCTTTTGGCAGGTTGCTAGGTTACAGGTATAAAAAGGTAAATAAGGTGCAGTGATACTCACTACTGTAGATGTGGTAGGTGTGATATATCAGGAGACACTGACACTCATTAAAATGCCTGTCTACCAAACCCACAGCAGAGCTACACAAACTTAATGCATGAAGAATTACGTTCTCAGCCCAGACGCTTTAGCATCTTTGTTCTGTTTCAAGCATTAGCTCAGTCTCTCATTACGTGCCTCTTCTAACAGAACGTTAAGATTTAGACTGTTGCATATAAAGATGAACTCAGTCATCATCAGCCCCTTATATTCAAGAAAAACTCACTTATATTAAATTGCGCATGGTCAAAGGAGGGTTCCCCTCTTTGTTCTTAAAATCTTTCATGAGACAGTGTTTTGTGGAGCGATAATGAGCCCTTTGTTGTGTGTGTGCTGCTTACTGCCAAGTCACTGTAGATGTGATCACCAAAATAGAGCACTTTGGATCCTCTCCAGCCGGTGAGTCTCAGGAACTCGTAAAGATTTCCCTACAGTGATCAAACACACACTCGTTACAAAAATGTATTTTATAAGATGAAGCCAAGAGAAATTTCAAACTACCATAAATGGCAAAGCACCTGTTTGTAGATCTTTCCTTTTTCCAACTTGTGAATCCTGTCCCACAGCAGCGCGCCTTTGTCTGTCACTCGCCTGAAAGGTCTGGGAAAAACACAGAAAGACAATATTGCTCAATATTGGCAGCTCTCAAACACACACACACCTATGTACATGTCATGTACAAATACTGTAGTGAACACGATCTGCTGGTAACCGCTTGCAGTAAGGCCCATAGCGTTATATAGTATGAGCCGCAGATACAAACGCACTTACTTTCTCCTGTCGTTGAAGAAACCAGGTTTGTCGGCCTGAACGATCACAACATCAAATAGGTCCCGCCAGTCCTTCCCTACAATGTAGGTCATTCCTCGGTCCCTGAGACGGACAAAGATTTAAGACATTACCTTGTCAGCATCAGCTTAATACTCATCATGAGGGTAGAGTAACAAGCACTTGAGCTGAGGGCTCAGCCATAGATCAGCAATAACAGGTCCACCTTGTACTGTGTGAGTGTGACTTTAAATGAAACTCCCATGATGCTTGCAACCCAGCTGTTACATGTTTGTTGCCAAAAAAAGGTGGATAGTGTGCACATCCAACCCCAGCTAAGCACAAGTGCAGGACAAACTAGAATTACCGTCTTGTTGTTGCATGCCTCTGTGAACCTGTCAAGTTGCAGCTACAGTTTACATACATGTTTGTCCAGACAAATTTGAGCCATGACAGTTACTTGGTAGTGCTTTATACAGGGATTTTGGTGCTAAGAAGCTACATATTCTAAAATGTGGATGCTTCACATACATCTTCAGCTTCACAGCACAGAAGTATAATCAGCACAGTTTCAAAGTGGACACCCAAGATCAGCAATTCAGAAAATGGCCAGAAAAGTGTTTTCAGAGAGCATGATGGTGTCACAGCGGCATGGTGGTGCATTGGTTAGCATTGCTGCCTAAAAGCAATAGAGTTCCTAGTCTGGCTTCCTCCCATAGTCCAAAGGCATGAATGTTAGGTTAATTGGTGACTCTAAATTGGCCGTTGGTGTGCATGTTAGAGTGAGTGGTTGTTTGTTTCTATGTGTTAAACCTAATTTCCACTCTTGTATGTGACTGGTGTCAGTAGATCCATTAATATACAGATGATGCCTCTATGTCCAACACAAGGAAGGGCAGTTCTTTATGGATGGATAGAAAACTGGTAGAAGCTACCTGTAGCCCTGGGAGAGAGGCTATTTTTGTCCGTTTTTCGCCATCCAGTAGTATTCGCTTGGAACAATACCAGGACAAAAGCAGGACCTGCCAAGTACGTGGCATGTTTTCTGAAATATTTAATTTAAAAGACTTGTGAATGGCTGAATGAGTCATAGTGACGATCTGACTGTATATAATATATAACTATATTTTAGCAGAATAACATTACTCAGATTCACAATGTGATAAAACTAGATAAACAAGTTATCATACAAACTCACTCGACGATCAACACAGGCAACTGAATTGAGGAAAATAGCCTGTTAGCCAGTTAGCAGCCTGTTGCTAAGCTAGCACACTGTCATATGGTCTCTCTGAAATCAATCGCAAATGTTCAATTTCGTTAATGTACTTGAGGCAAAATACAGAGAAGAGGAGTTTCGCATGCACATCTGTAGACTCACAAGTCAGTCTTTAGACGCTTTGCTTAACTAAAGACTGATGACTCTCTCCCTGATTTTGTGTTTAGATGGGCGGATACAATTTCAGAGTTTAAAAAAAACTCCCTACGTTGCAGAACCAATAGTAAATCTGCAGGGCGGTCCTTCGGTGGCTCGCTGAACTCTTGTGCTTGTAAACATAGTCCCACTAGAAACACGTGTAGTGGTACAAAATGGCTCAGCCGCGCTCGCAGAAAACGCCGTCAAAGTTAGTGGATGTTTGTCGCGTTTGCGGCGACACATTCTCGCCAACTAAAAGAAACAAACATAATCTTTTACAAGGCCATGACTCATCCAACCAGCCGGACTATAACGTTAGAGGGAATCACCTTGTTGTTTACAAATACTTCAGGGTAGAAAACCAGCAGAGCTTTTAGCTATATATATATATATCACATTTTTGACATCACTGTATCACCGTTTAGACTAATCCGATGTTTGTAAAGTCTATAAACACAATGATTGAACAAACATTACTATTTCTTAGCCGTTAGCGGTGTCTGTAATAGGTAATAACTCATTAAACGGTCCGTGAAAAAAATATTTTTTCCAGCGGATATCTTAGTTACAACATGATTGAGCTAGCAAAGCAGTTTTGTGTTGCTATGTGTGGTATTTATTCGGTTTTGGGAAATCACGATGTCTAGAAAGCATCAGTGGCTGCAGCAGCAAAGCTAACATCAGGACGTTATCTGTTAAAAGCCTCCCGTTGTTGGATACGACATGAAACTACTCCAGTTAGCTCAATCATGTTGTAACTAAGACATCTGCTGGAGAAAATATTTTCTTCACGGATGAGCACACGTTTGATAAAACAGAGTTAAATCTCTCGGCATCCATTTTCAAGCTCTCTGTGTGTTTGTTTCCTTGCGGACAAGAAAAGGGGGAGCGCACATTTCCGAGAAGGCGTGTCCTTTTCAAAAAATGCAAGAGGCGTTGCTTTGTTGCCGGCCGTTTTCGCCGGTGTGTTAAACAAACTTTAGAAAGGAGTGTCCCCAGACTATCAGAAGGCGGAGATCTCTGATTGTCTGGTGGCGAGACTAGCACATCTGATATCATGGAGCTTCCGTACATATATGTAAGTGGAAACGGGGCATTAGCCCTGTGATTGTCTGGTGACCTGTCCAGGGTGTACCCTGCCTCTTGCCCAATGTTGGCTGGGATAGGCTCTAGCTCCCCTGCGACCCCTAACAAGATAAGGGGTTTCAGAAAATGAATAAATTTTGGTGTCACAGTGAAGTTGACTGTATAAAATGTCATCACTTCATTATTTTATTCTATGAGACGTTTGTGTAAAATTTTCCCCAAATTATATATGAAGTCTTGAGTTATGGCCAAAAACATGTTTTGTGAGGTCAAAGTGACCTTGACCTTTGACCACCAAAATCCTGTCTGTTCATTATTGATGCCAAGTGGATGTTGGTGCCAAATCTGAGGAAATTCCCTCAAGGTGTTCTTGAAACATTGCGTTCACGAGAATTAGACAGATGCGAGGTCACAGTGACCTTGAGCTTTGACCACCAAGTTCAAATCAGTTCATCATTGAGCCCACGTGGACATTTGTGCCAGATTTGAAGAACTTCCCTTAAAGCATTCTTGAGATAAATCGCCTTCATGATGCCTCTTGCTGAGGCATAAAAACAGCTACCAAGGAAAAGAAGAGGCTGGAGATGACAGGATCAGAGATAAATCGTAAACATGTATGAATAATAAGGATGCAGGAGGATGCTAAGGTCGAAACGTTGCATTATTAAAAACTTGGGAACTTCAGTGTGCGGACAGCCTCTCCTTTGCCTTTGTTCCATGTTTAGTGCTGTGGTGACTGAATGTGCTAAACTATTAAATTGAGGACACAGGTTTAATGTTTTGGGGGTCTGGGAAGCCTTTTGAGGTTGGATATGCATAGCTAGTCATTTTGTGCAATCGGGTCCGACTTCAAAAGAGGCTCATAGTTAGTGTCCTACAATGAATTACAAATGCTTGCTAGTGGAAAGCCCTTTGATGTGTGATTGCCTATGTATAAAAGCTGAGTCATTATACAGTGGCACCAATTAAATAGTATACCAATGCAAGACATTTTTAATTAATCACAGCAACAACCACTTGTGCTCTGTTTGCTCACACTTACACAAAGTCAAACGGGCTGTTGGTAATGAGGAACATCTTTTTTCCATGCTCTGACAGCTTCTTCAGCACAGCGTGGCTCTGCTCGCCATAGCAAATGTATTTCTCTGGAAAATGAGAAAACACAGAGCGGGTGATGCTGATATAATTTACACAGATAAAACTCTCCTTTTTATTTGTATATCACAGCCTCATTATTCCTGAATTAATTGTTTATGTCTTGACAACAACTCAGATGGAGCCGTATAATTTGTTTTATATTAGCTCACACGAAGCAATATAAATCCAAAGAGCATTACCAATGTCTGCCTCCACGGCTCGGTACATAATGCCCTTGACGTGAACATCTCTAATGGCTTCCTGTGAAGAGGAAAAAAGTAAACAGTCCTCAGCCAAGAAGTCATGACTTCAGTGACACAATGTTAGCATTCAGCTCCAGTAGCAACACTTTGCTCTGTATATAAATGGTTGACTTGGAAGCACAAAGAAAGTGCATCTCTGAATACAAATTAAATATGAAGAAAGCAGGCCCTGGAGTTTAGTTACTTTGGTGACCTACTGAATAAGTTTCCACCACACTTTCAAAAGTGTAACCGGTGCTTTTGAATCAGTGAATGAGTAAATAGACTCTCCTTTGCAAAGTTGCACATTTAAAAAAAGTTTATCACATGCAAAGATTATTTGATGGACACAAAAGTGAAAGGAAGGAGTAAGCAATAAAACGACAGGGTTAATGCTGAATAATAAATCAGGCTTGGCAGACAGAAAAAAAAGATTAAGCAGCGTGTCCTTGAAAAGATATGAGAGGTACTCGTGGAACTGAGAGTGTGTGTGAGGGCTTTTAATGACAGCGATCTGTCAAAAACGCTGCACTGTCACACAGAATAGACAGGACCAGCATGACAGCTGCCCTCAAAGGGAGAAGACAGCGCCGATTTCTCGCCCCTCTCCCTCTGAAGCAGCAGACCCACCAGAGAACAGACGCAGATGGCTGGAGGCGGGCTTGCTCGACTAAAATTAGACACTGGTTTTCAGAGCTAAATTTAAGATGGGATTGAATGGCTGGAGTATTACAGCACACTGCAAACGTAAATAGTTGTATTTCTGAGCATTTGGCAGTATGTCTTTACACACATTGTCCCCTGGGAGAGTCAAAACTTGAATCACCTTGTCAGATTACTGCAAATATTTTATGCTAAGTTCCTGAAAACACTGGTGAAAGATGGCAGAATAATAACACTAGCTCACCTTTACATCTTTGTAAAGATGCACTGGCTCATAGTCGATGTTATGCCTCATGAAGAAGTCATTGACACAGGACAGGAGGGTCATCTCAGGCAGGGAGAATATATCCATGAACTGTTTCATGGTGTGGCCATGGGAACTCTGCAGGACAGCAATTAATGTCATTAAAATTCTGTCGTTTTTCTTTCTGTAGTGGCTGTCTGGTCATAGATGAGAGAGGAAATGATCATCACCTTGCCATAGAAGTCGCTCATGTTCTCTAGAGGTACGTGACAACCTTCATACATGGCAATTACTTCCTCATCAGGAACTGGATGAAGACCCCTGATGAAGAAACACAAAATATCAAATCATTAGATAATAGAATTAATGCCATGTCATTTGTAGCATGTGCAAGCTCCTGAAAACGCTCCTAGAAAAATTATTTCTTAGCATTTTTTTCCATTTACACCAGGGGCGTCAAACATATAGCTCGGGGGCCAGAGCCGGCCCGTCTAAGGGTCCGATCTGGCCCACTGGATGACTTTGCACACCTGTTATTGAAGCACTTGTATATATAGCTCTCTGAAATAACAATGAACACTTACTGTGGTCAGATTTGTGGATATTGAACATTGTGCAAAATATTATTAACCAGCAGCTTCATTATCTGTATCAGACTGCTATCTTAAAACAATATGGCAGGGGATGACTTCACCTGCTGCTTCAGCAGCTTCCACTGCACATGTGATGAAAGTGAGGAGTAGACTGAATTGAATGTAGAATAACTGGGACCAATGGTGTGTTTCAAATCACATACTTCCGTTAGTACACTTCTATGTAGTATACTGTGTGCACTATGCACTCAGTGGCGTAGTGCGCAAATTTTGACAGGGTAGTGTTGTCTCCAACCAAACACTCGCCGGACATGACAACCGCAAATTAGCTAGTTAGCAAACTAGCATTAGCATTCGCGTTATCGTTCACGGTACCAAATCATTACAGACTGCTAAATTAACCCAATAAACATACTGCTGGCTTATACCTTATACGACAACAGTATAGCACAACAGTGCTCAGTCCAAAAAACACGTGAATTTGTACAATGCAGCGACGTTCACGGTCGCACAGTCCCTGGGTTGCTTTTTCCAGTTTGAAAAGTGGTCCCTCCCCTTGCGCTACGTAGCCAAGATGGCGACCATTGAGTGCAAGAAGTGTCCATAGTTCCATACTCAACTTTTTGACTGTTTTGAGTGCATCATCCGGGTACTCATAGTGCACTGCATTTTTCCATACTTCTCAGTGTGAACTAGGCTTGTGCCGGTTTGAAAAATTTCCAACCGGTTTGATTTAAAGCCAAATAACTAACCAAACCGATATATCGAATTATATACCTAATTTTACCACTGGGGGTCGCGTTTGAGCTATTTTTCCCAATAAAAGCCCATTATAGGTGTAATGCGCTTCCAATCCACTAGGTGGCCGTAATGCTGTATTAACCGCCAATACACACAAGGTTACACAAGAAGAAGAAGACGCAGAAGGACACCAAGGAACATTACTCAAACTCAGCTATCTCAGTGGAAACACAGCGGTTGAGAGGGCCGAGCGAAAGGACGTTCCTGTAGTAGTTCCAGCCCCCCAAATAGTACCAGGAACTTCTTCAGTGGAAACGGGTTACTAGGGCAACAAACTGAATGACTGCTGACTCCCTCAGCACTTTTCCCTGCCCCCAATGAAATTTGATCTCTCGCAGCAGCAGCAGACAGCCGAGCGAAACACTTGTAGGCTCCTCCACTTCATTTATAAACAAACATAAACCTTATTAAGTTGTCATAATGTATGTTACAATGCAAGATAAGTTGAATATAGTTCCTTGACATGCTGCCGATGTGAAAAGCTTTTTTTTTTTTCTCCTCCGGTTTATCCGGTTGATGTGAATTAAACCGGGTGGCGCTCTTAAACAGGATTAAACTGGAAATCGGCACAAGCCTAGTGTGAACGCACTTATGCGCTCAAAATAGTAAGTGTAAGTTTAGAAGTACGCGATTTGAAACACAGCAATACTGTTGAATTAGCACATACTTTTCATAGGATATCGCGGGCTATTCATCATCTGTTTTGTAAATGGATAAATGTTTTCAGAATGAACTTCTTAATATTAAAAAAAAAGGAAAAATCTGAAGGGGTAGTTATTTATAGGTTATTATTTAATGGTTTTAGTGGTCCAGCCAACTGGGGATCAAACTTGGCTGTATGTGGCCCCTGAACTAAAATTAGTTTGACACCCCTGATTTACACTGTGGTTATATAATGTGATATTGTGCTTATTTGTATAATCCAAGTTGTGAGTATTGTTTTAACAGGATAAAGTGGTGTTGTGTCGGTATGCTGGGTGCCCTAATCCTAATGCACTGTCTCTCAGTGCTAGATCAAATGAATGATTCATAATTGATCTGCTATTGGAAGCCTAATTTTTATACACGTAATATTCAACTTCATAGAATTTCCCATCTTTGCTGAGCAACCGTTTTGTGTGAAAGGAATTAAAACCTGTCCAAAATTTAAGCCTGTTGAGTTCAGTGATTTAAGCAAATAATAGCCCTGGGCTATTAATTTAGTTTTAAAGTACTTGATATTTTTCTTACAACATAGCTTTGAATATAAGAGCAGCTGCAGTGTGACCCAGTTTCCCCTCAGGGATCAATATGGCATATCTGATTTCTGATTCTGTTACACTCACACAGTGTTGTGTGAATTCCACATTTTTCCGTGTATTATTTATGACCCACTACCCTGATGTGAGCAGTAACATAGTGCACAGGTACCTGTATACAGTTCCCAACTGGATGTAGTGAAAAGCATCTATCTTCATCAGCATTGCCTGTTAAAATATTAGCAAACAAATTAGGCATGAAGGCTACAGTACAACTGATGCAAAAATAAAAAATAAAAACAGTCAGTTTTTGAGTTGAACAAGCAAAGCCCCTCTCACCTTCTGTACATCATAGTGAAGTCCTCTTACTGCAAAATTAGGGATGTACTCATAATTTCGCAGCCCCTCTGGATACTAATATAAAAGGAAATGTTTGAGATGTTCAGTGACAACAAAACAGGACATTACTGAATCTTAAAACAGCTGAGCAATGACAAACGCAAACTGCAAGGCTAATCCATAATCCATCTATGTAGGTGAACACACTACAGCTGTAGCCCAGTTTACACCTCAAATGTGGGGTGGTCATTCTGCCTATCATCACACAAAGCTCTCGTACACATTCAGCCATGAACACAAGTTTCTACTACTAATCTATCTATCTAAATGTCCAGGGGTTTGAATGCCTTGCTCAATGGAAGCAACAGTGTTTTCTGGAGGGATCCTAATCCTATTTTAAAGGACAAACATGAGAACGTGATTCTTTACTGTTCAGGGGCCTCACTACAGAAATGTTGTTAGTCTGAAATCCTATCTTATCTCACTTTAGGATGACATTTAGGATTATTTTTGGCATTACAGAAACTTGTTTCCTAACTGTATTTAGGGAAAGAATCCCTTCTTATCTTACAATAGGAATTAGGATAGGTTTACCAAGGGTTGCAGCGATATATAACAGATTCAAGGTATACTATGATATAAAAGTTGACGGTTATCATACCGTGTACATCTGCTTATCTATGATATTAACTATAAAACTGGATGTTATATCTCCCCTTTCTTCGAATTATTTTCTAAGGGGAGACTTTTTACACATACTTCCATTAACAAATTAAATTCTGTAATATGGTGATACTGCAATATTTTCTGAGATCGTAATTGTACTGTGAAAATTGCATACCATCGCAACCCTAGATATACCTTCTCCCTGACCCATACAGCCTTTTTCCCTCTTGGAGTCGGGAAGAAGGTAGCGGTTACACCAGGCCAGCATTGAGAGGCTCAGGGAGAGCTTCTACCCTCATGCAACAAGGATCCTAACTGAAGAAGACCCTACCAAAAGCCCAGTTCAGACCACAGATTCACGACGAGACGAGTTAAAACAGGCAACTACTTGCAATGTGCTGTTCTGCAATGTTCTGAAAACCTGCCGGTTCACACCAATGCAACTAGACGAGATGGTGTATCATCGAAATGCAGCAACAAAACGTGAAAAACAAACAAAACGAGCATTGGATGGACTGTACTCATAATAAATACGCCACAATAATATAAATAACCAGCGCCAATTAATCAGTCATTGACAGTGTGTGTGTGTGAGGGGACATGAGCACATACAGCGAACAGCAGCAGCAGCCGATTGTCCAACACCAGCGCACAGTGACGACTGAAACAGAGGACTCAGCAGGGAGGGAGCACCTGCTGCAGCAAGCAAACATGCTGTCTGCAGTCATTTTGACTTCACTACAAGCTGATTGGCTGTAGAAACAGGTGACGTATTTTATGTTCTAAAACCAGCCGCCAGCGATTTGACCAGCTGAGTTGCAGGTGACAACATCAACCAGCTTGAATCGAGCTCAGTCCGGCTAGTTGACACCGCTGCAACTTTTCTCTGTAACGTTGTAGAACGGTTTCGTCTTGTCACGAATCTTGGGTCTGACCTGGCCTTAAGACTCCTAAGATTGCCTAAGATTTCACTGAAATTGTATTCATATGATTTTACGTGACAAATAATTATAAACTGATTGATAAACTGAGGGCGTTCCCAAGTTAGGAATCCAAGGTGAAGATGGCACAGACCCTGCCCTAAATTCAATGTGTCTGCATGACAATGACAATGAAGACGGCGGACAATGTGAACACTGAATTATAAATGGTTTAAAGGGTTTTCAAACTGTATGATGACACCTTAAATTTAAATAATTCAAATAAATAAAACAATTCACAAATTGACAAAGAACTAATGCCTCCGACGCCTTGTAGGGAATTAAATGCCCATCTTTCTTTGTCCATGATGGCAACGTAGCTAACTAGTGACAAGTGAGAGCAGCTAATATTATGTCATGTCCATCTTGAGGAGGCGACTGGTACATTCTAATTGAAGGTACATGCAGTCTTACTCTAAACATAGATAGAGTCATAACAGGACGAGCGCTTATAGAAGAATAGCACTTACAGTTACAGTGAGTATTTCTGAAGTCAAGACAGGAGGTCTGAGTCAGGATGACAAACAGCCCTGAGTTGAGGAATTGCCTCTGTAAGGAAGATAAGACGTCTTTTCTATCTTTAAACTTCAGTTTAGATGGGACAAGCAATTAGGATATTTTTCTGTAATGAGGTCCCTGTTCTGTGTTTTGTTCAATTAGTTTACCAATCATTTTCAGCCGTGATGAATGCCTCTGTCTGAGTCTGGAACAAGAATGTGTTTGGAGTGCCAGGTCTCTTAAGAGCCACACACTGTGCACACACACCCTATGGTTACTGATGAGGATGTCCCGGGCGATAGTGAAGATGAGGGTATGGAGGTGCCTGGAGTAGAATGCCAGGGTGTAGTCGTAGTCGAAGCCGTAGATCTCTGTGTCTCGCAGGCTCATCTCGTTGTTGGCAAAAATGGTGTCAGGGTTGACTGAGTTGGTGGCGATGGCTGGGATCAAATCTGAGAGGGGAGAAATACATGGGGTTATTTTGATGTTTCTTTCCTTTTGGGAATATTTTTTGTTGCTTTGACAGAAAGGCATATCTCAGAACATACAGTGTGTGTGTGTGTCTTGAAGGGGGGTGAATAGATTGTTTTTGATTTGGAGTCTGAATAGGGCCAGTACACAGCGTTATCGACTACATGCACTTCAGATTTCTGTCGACTACTGTTACTTATTGCTTGGCACCACCACTTTGAATGTAAGTAGCCTATTCATAGTGTATGCACAGGATGCGCATAGGTTATCAGATACATGCATTAAATATGTATAATCCAGAAAAGGACACATCATTATAGAGCTACTGTAAAGTACAGGCCTGCAGGGTTTTCTCTTTCTCTAACGTTTAAAGACTGAAAGACTCTTAGACATTTTGCCATTTATGAACAGTGTTGGGGAAACTACATTAAAACTGTAGTTTACCAAATTACAAGCTACTTCACAATGGAAGGTTAATTCATTTAATTAATAGCCCGTGCAATTATTTGCCTAAATCACTTAAATCAACAGACCTATATTTGGGACAGGCTTTTAATTCATTTCGGCTCAGCAAAGATGGAAATACGATCAAATTGTTTATTTAAACCAGTATGAATATTACTTGTTTAAAAATTAGGCTTTGAATAACATATCAACTATGATTCATCATCAATCAATCAGAGAGAAGGCAAGTTACAGCACTCAGGGATTACGGCACCTGGCATACTGACACAACCCTGTTAAAACTCACAACTTGGATCAATTTTTTATGAAAAACTCTTTTGATTCTTTTGATCTGAGGACCCGACAGACTAGAGGAATAGGAATAACTTGCAGGATAAGCGAGGAATGGACACATAATTTGAGGACGCCAACAACCTGGTTTTATACATCTGAAGAACTTCTATAAAAAAATGAACTGCTTGGCAACCAGATCTAAGGCCATGTCCACAAACAGAGCTCCTAACTTAACCTAAAATTTGTTAGTAAGGAGTCCTAGACTAGGAGTGATTTAGGAAAGTTCTCAGAACAACTCTGAGCAAGGAGGGGACAGAAACTTTTATCTAAGTGAGGCAGTGTGATTGACCCTATTGCTAGGTGTGATGCATTCTTTTAACAGGTGTAATTGGTTGTCACAGACACACTCTTTTGTGAGCCTGTGAGGTGTGGACACCCAGTGGAAATGAAATTTACTGCTGACTGTGAAAGTGTTGTCATTGTTTGTGTGATCACTCTGCCAATGGAAGGTTGACACCAGTGGTTCCCAACTGCTCCAGCCTCAGGGTCCAAATTTATCCATAGTGATTAGTTCAAGGTCCTCACAGTTTAATATACTCAGCGTCATGTTTGCATCTGGCCATGTCGTTGAGCTACTTTACTGTCTCTGTCTCTGTTGAGCAGCTATATGTTAGTCACTCCCTCTACAGCAGAGCACATCACTTCAAAATAAAAGCTCCATGACAAAAAATCACTGTACTTCAAAAAATACGGTGTGTTTTTACAAACTTGACATGTTTGTGAGTCACTTGTGGTCCATTCAGAACGAGCCTGCAACCCACTTTTGGACCACAAACCACCAGTTGGCAACCACTGGTTTAGACAGACACAAGTCATCACTGCTGCACTGTTGCATTTTTCCAAATATCTGTGTTGTGATCATTTTATTTCTGGCGTGAAAGTGTCAGGTGGGAAATGTGTTCCTATCCCTAATGAGATGGACCAAACATAAGGTATTATCCCTGCACGATCTAATCTGTCGCATTTCAATTACTCACTGTCATCCAGTGTTTGGAGAATATTTCTCTGACCTCTTTGTCTTTCCACCATTTTCTCCTCTGATTAAGAAACTTTTGAACCTCTTAAAAGTCCTCCTCTCTACTAACAGTTTTCACCTAAGGAGCTCTTTTAAGGGCTAAGAGGCTCTGTGAATAACTTTTATTTTTACAAAGGGAAATTCTACAAAAAGGTCACAATTCTGACAGTTTCCTTACAATTTCATCACTAGGAGCAACTCTTTGTACTAGGAAATTTGTGAATACAGCCCCAGGTGTCTGATTGAGACAGAACTGACACTGAGCAAAGTGTGGGTGTGTTTGATTTAGAGATTAGAACAGGCCAACTCTCACAAGCTCCAGTCGATCATTGCCATTTGTGCAGGAGGAGTTTATTGTTTTCAGGCTGCTAATGTGAGGTAGTAGAAATAGCTGCTGCATTAGTCAGCTGGGAACACTGGTCAGTACAGGGTTGTAATGCTGCTGTTGTATCAGTGTCTGTACCTTCAATCTGCCTCTTGGTCTCATTGTAAACACTCCACAGCCTCTCTGTCATGTCCGGACCGTCCGATGAGCTGCTACAAACAGATGCTGCGTAGTTTTTGGCTCTGGGTCGCAGTGACAGGAGTTGTCCGACTCCATTGGCCACCGCTCCGAAATTCCGTCTCCATGAACGCGATGTGAGCGGCCGGTGGTGTAAACTCTGAAAGACGTTACAGAAGATATTGGCCATGTGCAGACAGTCCCGGTGCTTCAGCAGAGACGACAGCGGCAGAGACAAGGGCGCCATGACTCTGGTCTGTGGGGGGGCAGCCCGTCTGTAGGTCGCGGTGCACTCTCCCAGGCGAATGCATGCAGTTGTCGGACTCTTCTGTAAATACCAATACCGAAACTGTCCCTGGATGGTTGACTCTTGCGTCACTTCCGCGTTTGGCAAAGTCCCAGCCAACCAGCGAATCAGAGGCTGATGCGTCTGGAGCTTCCTGCTGTCACCAGACAAAGGCGATGTGTCACCAGATACATGCATTAAATATACATATGATCCAGGAGGGGGCCCACTGTTACATGGAGATACTGTACAGCACAGGGCTGCAGGGCTTTGTCTTTCTTTAACATTAGAAGACTGGAGATTTGGAGAGACAAAATCAGACCTAATGACACTTATGGAAGCCCAAAATACATAAGTAATACATTAACTATTAGAAATGGCAAAAATAAAGATTATAATGGTAAGTTAAACTATATACTCAGGACACATGAGAGTTGTAATAGTTCATATATTTGATTTCTAAAGTCCAAAGTTTGACTAAGAATCTCATTTTTGTCTTGATGAGGTTAAGTTGTAATGAAGTTTTATGTCATAAATAAGTAAAATTATGAGACACAGATGAGATAGTAGCAAAGATTTGATTTTTATGGCAAAAAAAAGACATTTTAATTAGAAATTTTGACTTACTGTCTCATTATTGTAACTAAATAAACTTTAGTGAGTATCTCAAAATTTTGTTTTATCAAGGTAAGTCAACAAATTATGAGATGTTATGTCATAATTTAGGCTTTTTAGGATGCATTTATGAGATGGCTCATTGTGATGTATTTTCATTTCCTGCAGAGATAATAGATAAATAAGTAAAATTCTGATAGACAGTAAAATAATAATTGTTAGTCAAAATTATGAGATGCTAAGTCATACGTCAGTTTTTTTAGGACATATGTATGAGAGGACTAGTTCCAATTGTCTTAATGTTGCATAAGTTTGACTTTGTTTCTCTTTATTGTGACTTAGAATCTCATTTTTGTCTTGATGAGGCTATTTCACAAGTTATAATGAAGTGTCATGTCATAAATAGGTAAAATTATGAGGTACTAAAAAGCCATAATAATGCGATTATATCAAAGGTTTAACTTTTTATGGCAAAAAAGAGATTTAAAGTTGAGATTTTGACTTACTGTGTCAATATTGTGACTAAGTAAACCTTTTTAGTTTTTGTATTACCTATTTTTGATCTATTTTCTGGCAGAGATAATGAATTTATGACAGACTGTAATCATGGTTTGTCAAAATTATGAGATGCTAAGTAATACTTTAGGCTTTAAGAACACATCTATGACAGGACATCACATAAGCTTGAGTATTAAAGTTTTAAGTTTGACTGAGTGTCTCATTAGTCTGACTTACAATCCCAATTTTTTCTTGATGAGGCTATTTTGTTGAGGCTATTTTGAAATATTCATGGTTAGTCAAAATTACGAGATGCTAAGTCATACTTTAGGCTTTTAGGGCACATGTGTGAGAGGACTTGTTCTAATTGTCTTAATATTGCATAAGTTTGACTTTAAATATTCAAAGTTTGACTCGGTATGTCTTTATTCTGACCCAGTATCTCACATTTGTCTTGATAAGTCAAAATTTCTGAAAAACCTTTGACTGTCTCGTAAGTTTGACACACTAAACTATGATTTCACAACTCGAAATTGGCTTTTAGATTCAAGGGATTCACTTCCTATAGGGGATATATTACACTTTGTTAGTTCATTATTTTTTTAAATTCTCTGTAAATATCTTATTGTTTTTTTTAATCTCTTTTGTTGATTTTCAGATTACTTTATCCCACTAAACTTGGCATATTTTTTTTTATTTCTAATTTGTATTTATTACTCATCTATTCATGTGTCGACATGTTACTATAGTATGTGTGCAAGGCAAGCTGTTCAATTCAGTGAGGTTTTTTAATACTCAGTGTCTTATAATGGCTTCCATACTATATTTCATGTAATTTAATGTGCTGCTTCTCTCTCTTACACGCACACATACACAAAGGCTACACTTAATATCACACTCCACCCACAACTGTAACCATAACTGCCATTTGACACCTGTAGTCGTATGGTCTGCTGACACAACCAGGTACACACCCATCAGACAGGCCGAGCAAGCAGCATACTAATGTGCACATTTGTATAATACTATTACACACTATCTATTTAACTATTAGTGAGTCCAGTGTGACGTAATCTCAGTTTTTCACAAAATGTTCAGACTGTGTGTGCTTTGGGGAAAAATAATAATAAATGTTTGCCATCATTTGCATTTTGAGCTCACTAACTGAACAGCAACACCATGTGGATGAAGATGGGTGGTGCGGAGAGTGTGTAGTCATTATTTAGTGTGTGCTTCCACAGCAGGATATCTAAATATAAGGAATTGTCACCATTGTAGGAAAGGGAATGCAGGTTATTAAAAGAGTATGCCATATACATATAGGTAGATAAACAATATGTCATTTAAAGCAACATAGACTGAAATAAAAGCAGGTATAATGTTACAGTCAGTTACTTTGGTGCCTTTAATAGCATCTTAAATGTCATATAGCTTCAGTGTCACCTGACTGTGTCGCTACACGAGAAAATCAAAGTTTAACCAACGTGTTGACAGAGATTATTTTTCCATATCGAGAGGTAAATGTTAGGAAGTGATGTGCTGATTATTCATTTCTGGCCAATGGTGTCCAGCCACGATTTTGGGGTATAGCCTTATGTTGAAGCATCTGATTGGACAACATGTACCGAAGGCTGCGCCGTGATTGGTCGACGGTTGTGCGTGGTGCGCAGCCATTGGCCGGTTGTCACGGGTTTAATAGAGTGGGCTCTTTTGGTGGGAGAGGTTGGTTGTCAGTCTCTCCCGTTAAAGCGGTGCTGCGTGCACTTATCTCCCGGCTTTTGTCTCTGGAGCTGAAGACACACATCGTCATTCAAGCAGTTATCTCAACATGAAGCGAGTGTGGGTGATAGGTCTGCTCTTCGCACTCTTTGCCTTCGGTGAGTAGCGGAAATATTGTTTGCTAATTCGTGTTACTTTTTATCACCCAACATTTTTGCTAGCATTAGCCTGTAAGCTAGCGTTAACTTGCGTTTGTGCTTCATCTCTGCTCATTCATGGCCACAGCCTTCACACATTTGTAGCATTAAAGCGTCATTTTTATACACTTGTTTGCGATAGTCAGCATGATTAATGTGGCTTAAACACATGTCTAGGAGCAAAGCTAACACCCGTTATTCCTCATCGCCTTTCCAGAAGTTTCTCATAGATACACCATGTGTGTTAAAGCTGTGTAATGCTCGCTAACACCCATTAAAATCATGGCTGTTGCACAGATGTAGCTAGATTCATATAGCTAAGATAAAGACAGCCTTCCTAACGTTACACCTTATTTTTGGTGATTTCTATCACGTCTTTGCAAAGCTTCATGCCACCTGAACCAATCTTAAATGCTGAATATTTCTCATGATACACCTGCAGACATTATTTTATTTTAATACAGCAACTTTTTGTCCATATGCAGCTGCTGTGAAGGCAGAAGATGAAGTTGACATCGACGGCACGGTAGAAGAAGACGTTGGTAAAAGCAGAGATGGCTCCAGAACAGATGATGAGGTGGTGCAGAGGTGGGTGTCACTTCAAATATCTCCTCAGAGCATACATGTTAAGTGAGCTGTGGCTGTCCCTATCAGAAAAGGTCGACTAGACCTAGAGTTAACAGCACAAGGTCAACACGACCAAGCTTGTGCACACAAAAGCTCCCCAGCAACGCTTGAATTGTAGTGGTGGCAAAGCTGTGCTATGTCTACTACACGTCCCTTATTAAGAGAGAGGAATCTTGTGTGACTTGGATTTAGCTTGGATACTTGTCTCTGGAGGGGGAGAGCAGATTTGCATGTTGTTTACTGGTAGCTGTGATTTGTTGTTTTGCACGTCTCACCTGTGTGCTTGTGTCTGTCCCCAGAGAGGAGGAGGCTATCCAGCTGGATGGATTGAATGCAGCTCAGATCAAGGAACTCAGAGAAAAGTCCGAAAAACACGCCTTTCAGGCTGAAGTCAATCGTATGATGAAGCTGATTATCAACTCCCTGTACAAGAACAAGGAGGTGAGCAGGAATACATGACCTCTTGATGTACTATCATCAGTTTTGCAACGTGATTTTTATGTATCTGCTTGTATAAGAGGGATGTTAACTCAAACGTGTTAAGTATTGGGGTTGAAGTTAGTGGTATACTGAGTTGTGTTTCTATTTGTACTTCTTCCCCCCTTAATAAATACGGTGGGCATATTATAAAGAAATGTCTCTCAATATAATGAGGTCCAGTACAACACCACTATGAATTACCAAGTCAAACAGACAGTGACACAAACAGTGTCAAGAAAAGCTGGACATTATCTTTTTAAAGGCAGAGATTATAACTGAGCTGCTGTATTGGATTGCAGTGAAGAAATATATTTTATTCTTAATATCTTAAGGACTAGTGTTAACATTTTAGTATAATGCACATTTTTGTATTTCTATTGTGTTGTATTTTAAATCAGAGCGACTGTAATGAATCACAATTTGCCCTCAGGGAGAAATGATTTCTGATTCTAATTAAAATTGACACCTGCCAAATTTAATGGCATTCAGTTTTGAACAAATATTCTGTCTGCTCTGTATTTAAATATATTGAACAGTTACTATCAGCTGCCACTGAATGAACAATCTGGGTAACTTTGTATTACAGCACACCTGCAGGTTTCTCTTTCATCCGACAGACGCTCACAGTTTGAGATCTGGGGGAGGGGGTGAATCAGTGTGGCTGAATTGATGGTAAAATGATTATTGTGTCTTTCAGATCTTCCTCAGGGAGCTGATTTCCAACGCCTCAGACGCTCTGGATAAGATCCGCTTGTTGTCTCTGACCGATGAGCACGTAATGGCCTCCAATGAGGAGCTGACCATCAAAATAAAAGTATGCACAAG